AGGGATTTGAACTTAGAGGGCATGAACCGGAGAAACCGGAGAAGAGTGCAAAGTGGAGCATCTCAGTAGGGCATACTCACAATCGTGACACGCTCGTGGATAGAAAGCAGAAGATGCCACGACGTGATTCACGATTGTGGCGCGCTCGTAAACTGAGAACAGTAGGGTCCACGAAGAGGATCCACGCTAGTGGATGATGTTTTATGATTTACAACACACAAAACATTAAAAGTAGGGTGAGTGAGAGAGAGAAGGAAAAGCATACCAATGGGCACAAAGAAGCAGCTCTCCACCATCCTTGCACGCGAAGGAGTAATCTTCGGCGATCACCTCTTTCGTCTGATTCTCCTCGTCGTCCTTGTCCTTCCTCTTCGGCATGGCTTTGCAAGAGAGAAATCAAGACACCCAGACTCAGAAACTGGACCTTCTCTCACCAATGGTTGTTAGTTTCCTGGAAAATAAGAGTCAGCACAAAAAACTGCTTCTATTTGCTGCAAAAAAAAAAAAAAAAAAAAAAAAAAAAAAAAAAAAACAAAACAAAACAAAAAACAAAAAAACAAAAAAAAACTATGTCATTGTGAAGTTCCCAGAAAACTAGGCTGAAAATTTTACAGTGATCCCACGAAAAGGACAAAAATGCATGAACCCAGACTCAAGAATGTATCCTTTAACAGTAAAGCAAGAACCTTTTGGCGATAATCACGATACTTATGGCCATTGGCGGAGCCACAATGGGGGCAGTGGGGGCAGCTGCCCCCACTGCTCTACCCCATATAAATGGTATATATACTAAATATACTAAAATTTAAACAAAGTTTGTGTTGGCCGGGATGGTAAGGCTATTAGTTTCCCACCTAATATAGTGAAAGGTTAGCAGTTCAAACCTTGTTGTTGGCATTTTTTTTTTTATTTTTAATAATTCTAATATTTGGCATTTTTTATTTTTAATAATTCTAATATTGCCTTTTTGTAACTGTGTTTGTTTTTCACTTCTTATGCATTCTATTTAGTTTCCATTTGTACTGATGTAGTTGTTTAATGGTTATGTTAATTACTAAGGACGAATACATTTGCTAAAAATTCGTTAATGTTAGTTGGTATAGTTGTTTATTTGGAATAATTAGTTAATGTTAGTTAGCATATAGTTGTTTAATAATTTTATTTGTATTTGATATTTTGTATTTTGTAGTTGAACATTTTGTAATTTATTTTACCTTTGCTTTTTCGCCCCCACTCAACATAAATCCTGGCTCTGCCACTGCTTATGGCTGCAACGATGAGAGAGAAGGAAGAAGAACAAGCGAAATAGAGACCTTAGAATTCAGAAAAGTGAATATATGAAAAGACAAAACTTATTTGCTTATTGAGTAGAGCAATCTGTAGTTTTTGCTTAGATTTTGAGAAAAAAAAAATCAATATATGATTCTTTTGACTATTGCAAGAGGCGGTTTTTGTGGAGTTTTTATTCTTTACAATTTTTGTTTTTCGTGGCCCCAAGTTTGCAGATGAAAATTGAAAATAAGCTAGTACGTGCATGAATCGCGCGCATGACGTGCCTAGCTGGCACGTGCAGTGCACGCACCGCTATGCACGTAAATTTTATTTATTTTTCTTTTTTATTATCAATTTTTGTTTTTCTTTTTCCTTGCTTTCCTCTCTCCTTCTCCCTCTCTTTTCTGCATGGGTATGACAAAAATCAAATAAAATTTTCAACTAATGTGGTTGGTCAACCCAAGTTTGTGAAGAGTAAAAAATTAGAATTCTTCCCCGCAGGGGTTTAAGCAGCTAATTTTTAGTGGTAAATTGTTAACAAGTCAACTAAAACGCATGGATCAAGTTTCACAACCTAGTTTTGTTGAGTCACTGACAACCTAGAATTGAGTCATCTTGATTTATCTATTCACCCATAGTCTAGGCATGATCCACTCACCTAATAAGTCACTAAGTCACCGTGATTTGTCTCTCCATCAATAGGCTATTAATTCACTATGATTTATTCCATCAGCAGCCTGGTCCTCCCACTTCATCCTGTCTAATGCAATATTGAGTCACCATAATTTATCCCTTCACTATTCAAAAAGGAATTTCGAGTTTTGTGAGAAAAAAATTTGGAATCTCTTTTACTACTAAAACTTAATCTAAACTCTAAATAAAATTTTATAATTGGTATATTTATATTTCAGAAAAAGAATTTCTTTTACTGCTGCATTTAGTGCTTTTAGGAAGAAGTCATGGTGAATCCAAACGGAAATTTGTTGGAATGTTTTGTGATCTTAATTAATCTCTTAAGCTTTCTATAAATATTAAAAAAAATTGTTAAAAGAAAAAGAATTATTTGTTAAACATAATTATATATGGAGTACAAAATAAACATGTTTATACTTCTTATATTTAGAAAAATTATATTATAAATTTCCTTAGTAATATAAATAGGGAAAAGTATAATTTGTTGATAGATCTTACTCGTCCATCAAATTCATCAATGGTTCAGGGTTGTAGTAAAAAACACGGGGTCAATTTTATAATCATTAAAAATTTTTAAGAGTGGAGTTCATTTTATAATTAAGTAATAGTAAGATCATATCCTAGCGTTTGATTTCTCAACATGGAGAATGTGGATGTGTCCACACATTTTACAATAAAATTATTGATGGACTAACGCAGATAAATATCTAGAAAAAGAAAGTCATGAAAGCATTTATTAGTTTTTACGTTTTATTGTGTAACCCTTCATCTCTTGGTCTCTTTGTTCTCCTTCTCCTTGCCAATCCCTCTTTAGACTTGTGTTTCAATCTAACGTCCAACCGTCATTCTTTTTTATAAGCGTTGTCCTTGCCTAAACTCGAATTTTTAAGTCATTGTTGCTTTTGCATTCACAGCTTTGTGCCCAAATTTATTTTGAAAATTGTATTATTGTAAAGATGCTTTTTTAATGAGATGTTTCATTGTTATTGCTTTTTCTATTTAATTTTTCAAGTTTTGAGGTAGAGCAATTAATAGGCATTGAATTTTAATTTATCTCAGGTATAATATTATTGATTTATTGATGTAATCCAAATAATTGATGTGTTATAATTTGTTATAAAGTAATTAATTGAGATGTAATTTGTCACTTGTAGAAAATTATTGATGTAATATAATTTTTGGGCTTTGTTGCAAATTAATTAATCAAGGCATCAATATATATAATATGTCTCTAGCGTAAAATGTAAGGAAATTATGTATTTTGCCTAATTAGCGGTGTTACAAATATTGTGCCTAGGCGCTAGGCGACGCCCGACTATGTCGAGGAACGCCGAAATCGGTCTCCTCCGCGGTCGGCCTCCTCCGGTTTTGTTTTTTTTTTTTTTTTAAAAATAAAAAATCAGGCTCTAGCGTCTTTTTCAACATTGCTAATTAGTTATGCAATAATATATACATGGTTTAGTGTATTACCCGTGCGACGTATGAGCATTTTGCCTAATGTCATAGTACATGATCTTACCTCTATGGTTAAAGGTACTAAAGACCTCTTCTCTTTTAGTTCGTTAATCAAAATGTCTATCATATTAGGTGAAGTTTAATTTGTTTTGCTTCACCTAACCATATTTATCAAACAGATTTTTTTCACTAAAGTGTCTACTGCCCATTTAACTTCAACCATAGAAGTAAGATATATTTGTTAATCAAAACGGGTCTTGTCGAGTGTTTCAGAATACCTGCCAGATTCCTTAAACATCATATAATGAGTAAGTATATATTATCCTAAAGTACCTTGGCCAGACACTCGGTTAATTACTTGGTCGAGCTTCATTAATTCCATCCCAAATGTAGCAACTCGCCTGATCAAGTCACCAAGCTTACCTTCAACTATATATATAATTAAAAAGAAAAAGAAATATGATGTCATAATGTCATTTTTTAAAGAAAACAATTTTTAAGAAAAAAATTATATATAAAATTGTTTTTTGAATTTGTTTTCAAAAAACAATAATTTAAATTGAAATTTAAAATTTAGAAGAAGGTGGGAATAATAATTTTTTTCTTTAAAAAACATTTTTTAAAAAAAATTTCAGAAGAATGTGGAAATTAAAACAATTTTTTTAATTTTAATTTAAAAAAATAATAATTAAAATAATTTTTTATATATAATTTGACATTATGACATCATATTTATGGGGAACTTGGAAGTAACCTGTAAAAAATGACATTTCACAATTTTTGAATGTTTAATGATCTAATTGCACACTTTTTTTTGTTCAATGGTTCAATTGCACAATGTGTAAAAGTTCAGTGGCCTATTTGAGACTTTTTCCTTAAAAAAAATGATGGAAAAAGAAATTCATAAAACCTTCTATTTACATTATATCTTTTATAGTTTAACCCTCCATCTCTCGATTTTCATTTTTTCTCTCTTATTGCCATTCCACTTCAAAGTTTTTTCTCAAACTAACGACACCACTGGTTGTTTCTCTATTTAGCGTCATCTTTGCCTAAATTGGCAAGATTCAGCTTCATAGAGAAACGCACGCTTCCAAGCGCTTTTGTCTCTTTGTCGCGCAGAACACGAGTCAAGGTGGTCAACGAAGAAAGAAAGAAAGAAATAATGAGAGAAACACTGTTCAAATATAAGTGTCTTTGCTTTGCTTGATAGGCTTTGCAGTTGGGTTTAGAGCCAATCGATGACAAATGACTGACCGGTCAATCCCGTGCATATCTTTCTGCCCCCACACAAAGATATTTGCGCACTCCCGTAAAATTGACAGAACCAAGCTCCTTAGCACGGGACTGGGTGATTTTATGATCTTGATCTTTCTATCCGAGCGGCTATCATCCAACGTGACTTCATCGACTTCCTCAGAAGTTTCGGGTTGTTCTATCTTCTCTTCATCCTTCCTTTTGGATATTGTATTAACCTGGGAAATCCATGTCTCTTGCTTCTGGACAACCTTGACGTAACATCGCTGAACCGAGCGGGTTCTGGCAATTGGACCAAGTTGCATGATTGAGCATAATTGAGGATGACGTGTTGTATTGTAGCAGTGGATGGAAAGAAGGTTGGGAATGAAGATTCTCGGGGATGTCGTTCTTACAAGGATGAAAACTTGGAGTTAGCGGAGTGCAAGGCAATTATAGGGGATGTACTAACAAGAGTGAACTAGGTGAACAAAGGCCGAATGAGAGCATGGAAGCAAAAGGTAGTACGCAAGAAAGTACAAACAACAATTAAACAAGTAAAACGGGGAATTGGATGGAAAACACTTGATCTTATGCATTCACTAGGTTAAGGTAGACTCAAGGTAGTGCAACACAAGACTAACTTTAGGGAGGTCGCTTTGCCTACACTAAGCCGATTTGTACTTGGACTCTTAGACCACAATCAAGAGAGTTGTCAATTCTCTTCACTCTAGATCACCTCTCTCTCTTAGGAATTGAAGACTTAAAAGTAGCTAGTTGAATTTAGGTTTAAGCTTTAATCTAGAGAGAGAAAATATCTAAGCCAAGCTCTGAAAAATGATACAAGAATGGAAGATCCCCCTAAAATCTCGCCAAGACTTTCTTTTAAACTGGAATTCCTGATGCGTGTACGAGGCACACGTACAAGCATACGCCTAGCTCGTACGCGTGTCAGTCAACTATTGCGATTGGACTATTTTGTCCTTGTCTTGCTCCAAATTGCCTTCAAACCACTCCAATTTCCTGCAATATTCAATATTGGTCCCCAAAATATAATTTGTATGAAAATATATCCATTAAGCACACATTTTACCCCAAAAGGACTCAATCAATGCAATTTAAAGCAATTAAACACTCCCATAAAACTAGCATATTTTGGCACTTATAAAAAATTTCCACACTTTAACCTTGCTTTTCCTCAAGCAAGACATCAATCAAATCAAACTATAAGTGCCAAAGTGTAGCTCACAAGATACTTAACAATCAAATGGTCAATCAATGCAAAGTTATGCACAAGAATCAAATGCATGACCTCCTTCATATTATAAAGCAAATGTGGTGAGCTCATTTGATATGTTACTCAAAAGTTCCTTTCACAAAGCTTCACCAAACAAATGTACTTGCAACTAAAAGTAGTTGCAAGGTGAGCAAATATGATATGCAAAGTATTGGTGCTCACTTCTAAAGCAAGTAGCAAAATAAAATGTGTACAAAAGCAAGAAAAACAACAATGAAAAGTGAATGGGCAACCTAGAATTCTTATCAATACACTACAAGATGTCAAAGTAAACACACTCTACTTAGCACCTATTGCCATCCCCGGCAACGACGCCATTTTGACAAGGTTTTAGTATGCGTGGGATGGAAAGCAAGTTGGGAATGAAGATTCCCAGGGATGTCGATCTCAAGGATGGAAAATCGAAGTAATTAGAGTGCAAGACAATCGTAATAATGCACTAACAAAAGTAAACTGAGTGCAAGAAGGGTTTATTGGGGTACATATATACAATGGTAGGGATGGAAATGTAAAAACAACAAACAATATATGCAACTGGGAATTGGATATAATTGACTCGTTTTTATGCATTCATTAGCATAAAGTAGACAAGAGATGGTGTAATGCTAGACTATCTTAGGGGAGAACAATGGCACCTACACTAAGTTACGTAAAACCTAGTCTCACACATCCTAATTCGGGTGAGGAATTATGTCAAACACATGGTGGTCGGTCTACCTTATCCTCCCGGGCCTAGCCCTCTCGGATCATAGTACGGGAATTTCAATGAGTAAGACTTCATGGAATCTCATTCTCATGTCGATTCCACTCTCTCATACTCCTCTCCCATTAGAGCTCTCTATGAAGAGAGAAACAATACAAAACTCATCAACAACAAAAGATTCTAGGTCTAGCATTATAGCACATCTCATCAATAAGCAATACAAATCTTGAATGCATAATCACTCATCAATTCACTCCAATTCCTAGAAGACTAGCCACTCATCATTATAGATTGAAAACACAATGCAATTGAATCAAGATAACAAAATAGAAGATGGAATTAAAAGATAAGAGATGAAATGTTACCAATTCATCAATCACAATGTGAGACCAATCCTTGAGCAAGTGAAGATCTACAAGTGACTAGTTGAATCTAGGTCTAAACTAGAGAGAGAAAATATAAAACTAAGCTAAGAAGTCTCTAAAGTGAAAGATAAAATGATAAATGATCAAATAATCACTCTACAAGCCATTTAAATAAGCTGAACTATGTAATTTCCGCCCAGACCCGATCCACTAAGTTCCCCACGCACGTGGGTTGGATTCATGGAACTTACTGTTCTCGATCTACGCAATGGCCCACGCGTGTGGATGGGAGCGAGTCCGAATCAGCCATTTTTGTCTTCGTCAACATTGTAGCTGTTAGGAATAAATTGTAATAGTTTTTGATATGCCATATTGTAATTCGTAGATCCCCAATTTTATTTTATTAGACTAGTCGAGTCATAGACCAAGAAAGGGAAAAATAAATTCATTAGTTGAGGAAATAGATGAAGAAGAAATAAAGCCAAAAATCAAGAATTTGCCTAGTGAAAATGGCAAACAAAAGAGGAAGATGTATGCGTATGAGATTCAAGAAGAAATCCCTCAAGAAAATCCCTCAAGAAATCCCGAAGATGAAAGAACGTGACTTGAAGTTTGCATGAAGCTATCTTGAAGATCAAGCATCTATGGAAAGAAAGGAGTACACCAAGTGAAACCAAAAGATGACTAAAAGGTTGTACGGACGAGATGGTAGAAGTTTGAAATATTATGTGCAAGGTCACAGGTTTGAATCTCATATCCCACATATTTTAAAGAAGCCAAGTTTAATTCCATCAGTTAAAGTATGAGGCGATGGTTTGGCCAAAGGGATGCAATTTGCAAAGTCAATGGGATGAGATCCAGGGAAGCAATTTGCAAAGTCAAAGATGAAGAGATTTTCAAATTGACTAAGGGATGAAGTTTCTCAAATGAGTATCCCAAACAAATTGGAGAGATTTTCAAATTGACTAAGGGATGAAGTTTACAAGTGAAGGGATGAAGTTTCTCAAATGAGTATCCCAAACAAATTGGTATCCCGAAAATTGACATAGGGATGCAATTTCATAAGGGTTGAAGTTCAAATTGATATCTCGAAGGGAAGGCAATTGAAGGGATGAGATTGCAAGTCCAAATCAAGTAAGGGATGAGATTGCAAGTCCAAATCAAGTAAGGGATGAGATTTCAATTGACAAATCTAGCGAGGGATAGAGATTTCATTTTCCAAAATAGCAAGGGATGAAGTTTCACAAGGGAAGAGATTTCCCAAGTCAATTGAAGAGATGAAGTCTGGAAGCAGTATACAGACCCAGACGTGAATAACAGAGGAAAATATGAGAAGAAGTTGCAGAAGCAAAAATACTAGTCTAACTAGTAAGGGATTATATTGGAGATTATATTTTGAAGATAAAAATCCCAAGAGGCGTGATCTACACCAGATGGAGATTCATGGGACGCCATTTTTGCTAAAATCTCAAGCTCAACTTGCAGAGAAATCTCTGACATATCTGCAACGTTATCTTATCCTCTGACAAAAGGCTATACAGCTAAGAGAAATTCAAAAATGAGAACGTTTCTCTCCAACGGAAATATTCTCATTACCAGCTATAAATAGATGAAGATTGAAGCAGTGGAAAGCAGAAGCAAGAACGCAATAGAGCAAGAACAGAGCTAAACAGAGCATACAAAATTCAAAGAAAGCTTTCCATCTCAGGAGCTTAAATTGATATATTCTTTGTGAGATAAACACTCAGAGTGATACAGAGCTTAGAAAAGAAATATCCAAGAGTGTTAAAATCTTCATCAACTTCAAGAGACTCAGCGCACCATTGAAGATCATCTACAGAGTCTCAAAGTTGGAAGCAAGGCAAAACTTGTTTTGGAGCAAAACAAGGGAAAGGAGGAAAGTAACACGAAGTTGTGAAATCATGGATTGTCACATGGAGCTGTGAGATCCGAAGCAGCAGTGTCGGAGGACATTGGGCGTGATTAGTGCGGGCTTTGTGATCAAAGCACTAGATCACGGAAGATACGTTTCTACCGGATCGTAGAAGACGGGGGGAAAGTAACACGGAGTCGTGAAATCCTGGGAAAGTAACGCGGCGACGTGAAACCCGAAGCAGCAGTGTTAGTGTCACTGGACGTGATTAGTGTGGGCTTGGTGATCAAAGCACTAGATCACGGAATTCATTGTATCTTGGAACCAAGAAGTGGTGGATATAGTGAATTGGCTCTTGGAGAAAAGAGCAAGTGGAGTAGGAGGATTACACCACCTCGCGAACCACTATAAATTGCCTTGTGTTCTTTACTGCTTTCTTTACTTACTGCTCTTGTTTGCTTCTCACGAGAATAATCTTGACACGATCTACACACACACCGTATCATTTATTAATTTCCGCTGCGTACCATACTCTAACAATCTAGTTAAGAGTTTTGGTTTATCTCTGGCTTACCAATTGTTATATTGTGCTAAAAAGTTTGAAAGTCTATTCACCCCCCCCCCCCCCTCTAGACTTTCACCTTACCTCTTTTGGGACCAACAGTAGCCCTGAAGTTGACATCCCAATGCCACTTGAATCAACTCCTTTGGACACTCCTAGCTCAAGATATGCTCAAATTATCGAACTGTCGCCGGAATGCCCTTATTTAAGCTCAAAACCTTCAAAACACTAAAGTGTACAAGTTTATGGGAATTTTGATGTGACGTGTCAATACATCAAAGATTTATGGTGTGATTTGGGGGTGTGATGGAAAGAAGAGTGGGAATAAAGACTCCCGGGTTGTCGTACTCAAGGAATGATAACTTAGAAGTGTTGAGAAAGGGTCACGGTGAGGTTAGTCATGCTTTGAGATTCTTGGTCAAGAGAGTGAATTGGTGAGTAAATGGTTGACAAAGGAGAAAAGGAAAAAGGTTGCTTGAAAAGAGATTGAAACAATAAGGTAAAAGCGGATTAGGATTGCGTGTTAATTGCAATGTGTAATTAGCTAATCCCGCAATACGGGCAGTAGTGGTGATCAAATGTTTTGTCACTCATCAAGAGAAATGGCGCGCTAGTGCGTAGCCATTTTGGTCTATACGTCTCCCATAAGTAGACATGACACCCG